CCCAAGCTACACCGACAATATGATCATGAAGGTTACTATTGAACAATAAATGTCTAAAACCCCAAGCTACACCGACAATATGATCATGAAGGTTACTATTGAACAATAAATGTCTAAAACCCCAAGCTACACCGACAATATGATCATGAAGGTTACTATTGAACAATAAATGTCTAAAACCCCAAGCTACACCGACAATATGACCATGAAGGTTACTATTGAACAATAAATGCGATTCCCCAGTTGTAGGATTCATTAAATTCCAAAATACACATTTTGGAATGTATAACTCATTGCAAATTAAAGCTACACACAATAAGTATTTCGACAAAAATGTAATTAAATTTTTTTCACTCCTATTCAAAATCCCTATGGGGCGTGACTTTTGCGCCACCTTGTTTACTAGAACTAAATTAAAAACAATGTTTCAAGGGATATATATATATATATGCCTCAGTAGACTAATTCTTCATAAAACGACCAAAGTATAATTATAAGTTCCAATATTTGAAACTAGGTCATAATGGACATCCTTAATTATGTATCTTAGGAAGTACATAAAGCCTTCCTAATGATCTATTTTCTAAGTCTAGTGCCTCAGTAAATACGTTATCTTGCTTTACTTTCATTTGTTACGTATCTACAAAGGTTGAGAGCCAGTTTACTTGCCGGTTCTTGAGATTATGGATACGAAACTAAACAATGATCAACATGAAGTAGTTAATTAACTTGACTGTATATAAACAAAGATATAGTGGTTTAATTTTGTTCTGCTAAATGTGTTCATTCTCTAGTACCTAATACTTATAAAACTCTTGTATGAAGTATTCTATTCCTTCTACAGTTTTGAACATTTTAATTAAAGCATTTTTATTACATAACTAGCAACCAGTAGATGTGTTAGACTAAAAACTATATACACAAAATATTTAAATGCTCTCTAACAAGCATAATGTCTTCAGACTTACTGTTTATTGTTTTTAATAATGATATTTTCAGGAAACGAATCAGCGTTGTACAAACAAGCACGTGAAGTGGATTATATTACGTATTGGCTTGATAAACGAGCTTATGACTTTAAATGAAAAATGACATTTAAACAACATTCGTATTAGTTTAATCAAAATTATTACGTGATTTATAAGTATTTTGTGCATTTTTTTTCAATTCAAAAGCGTTATGTTGTGACCTGTCAGATACTAATCACTTTGACGATAAAGTGTTTGATAGTTAATGATTTATAAAGGGCTTACGTAACTATGTGTCACATATTCTGTTACGTTAAAGTATGAATTAAATTTAACTAATACTTCAAGATTATCTAGTTAGTTTAGCGTTAAGGGCTAAAAGCAACACTAAATGAAAAATTGATATCTTAAGATTATTAGTTAGTCAAGCGTTATATGCTGATAATATCACTAAAGAAAAGATTAGTAGCTTTCAAAACATATCTATAGTTAATTAGTTGACTTTTCTTCAGCAAATGAAATATTTTGCGGGTTTTAGTCTTAGATGCGTATGAAAATAATACTTAGGAAGTGCTATACTGATTAAAACAGGGAATAATGCAAATAACCATTATAAAACTTTATATATATAAATTAAAAAAAATAAAGACTATGCAGCAATTATTAACGAATAAAGATTACATTTTTGTTTCAATTAAACGGTCTCCATATTCTGGAACGTCACCTACCAGATCAGGTTACATTAATATAATCATCTAGGTTAAATGTAAACAGCAGTATTAAAAAGCGACGTCTCATATTCCTGTCTTTGTTCTTCTGTTTAGCTACCATCATAGTAATCCTTGCTGCACTACAGTAATTCCCAACCAGTCTTTGTTACAACGTATATGTATTCCAGGACAATCCTTGCTGCACCATAATAATCCACAACCAAATTTTGATAGAACGTGAATATATTATAAACCAATTCTTGCAACATCCCAGTAATTCCCAAATAATTTTTGTTACAACCTGTAAATATTTCAGTGCAATACTTGATGCACCACAATAGTGCACAGCCTATCTTTGTCACAATGTAAATGCATTTCAAACCAATACTTGCTGCACCAAAGCAGTTCACAGCTAATATTTGTTACGACGTGAATATATTCCAAGTCAATTCTTGGTATCGTTTCTTTGCCTTTATCGGGACTCTACTTATTTGATACTATACCTTCCAAGGCAATTGATCACAGCATTATATTTTTGTCCTGAGATATGCCTTAAGTATTTAATCTTCTTGATTTTTTGTTAAAACAGTCTATGGTGTAAACATCTTGCTTACACCTTACATTGCGATATTCAATGTGATTTGTCTACTGGTCTTGAATTCCGTAAGGAAGTGACACTTCATTGAACCGACTAGAATGATGTGGCAGAGCAGCTTGTAACACCACATCCTAGTCAATATTCTACCATCAAAATAGATGTGAACTTTCAAACATAACAATATGCATATAACATCAACAATATATATTTGTGATTATGATTAAATGAGCATCAAATATTTTCACCGTGCAAAATTATGGGAATTTCAGACCAAGAATTTTAAAGTTTAAAACTACAAGCGCAGACAGATAAATCCAAACTATATATACCCACCGACAAAATATACATGAAGTAGCGGAAAATTCTAACATTACATTGGAAATCTAATATGCATTGATTGAAAGTCTAACATGCATAGGTAAGCGGGAGAGCGTACGAATATGTTGAGCAAATGTATATTGTTTTATTATAGTACACATAGTTTAAGAATTATTTATAATGTTTAAGTTTAACAACAGCAGATATTTTACGTTATCAAGCAGAATCAGTTGAAGATGAATATGGTAGATTTCGTAAAAACAAATACTGATCAAACTGTAAGAAATAAAAATAGAAACATAATGTTATACACTTGATTATGAATAAGCTAGAGCTCTGTTTAGGAAGTAATATACAATAATGTACTTATATCATGCTAATATATCACATGTGAAGCATGACTACTTATAAATTATAATACATGAATTATATTTACAGGGACCTCAGCAGCAACAATATTAGCACATTACTCAGCTCCAGTTTCCGCCATCTTCCAAACTTGAATGAATTGTAAGTTGATTTTGTATGATTATTAAAGTATCAGTTTTAACAGAAGAATATTTTTTAAATATAACATACAGAGATTTAAGTATTAAGTATTTTTTAGATGAAAAACCCCGAACAACTTATATATCAAAACAAAACATTTATCAAATGAAATAGTCTTCATTCTTATCGATGATGCTTTTCAATCTTACAATCAGGTTGTTAATGCCCTGATTAAAGAAATCACTTGGCTTTGAAGCAAGAAACATGCCGATGTCCTTTTTAACACCTTCCATATTTGTATACGTTTTCCCATCAAGATGGTGTTGCATCGAACGAAAGAGATGGGAATCTGATGGTGCCAATTCTGGTGAATATGGTAGATGGGGGAGAACTTCCCAACCCAACTCCATAGTCTTGTGTTGTGTCAAACGTGCCACATGTGGACGGGCATTGAAGTGGAGTAGAAGAACACCTTTCCGATTGACGAGTGAAGGGCGTTTCTGATGAAGGGCTTGATTTAAACGTTCCAGTTGCTGACTATAGATCTCTGCATTGACAGTTCGCTGTGGATTGAGGAGCTCGAAATGAATTACTCCTTTAATGTCCCACCAAATGCAAAGCATCACTTTCTGCGGATGGAGTCCAGATTTTGGGGCCGGAAGTGGTTTTTGTCTAGGACAGAGCCGTTGTTTTTGGCGTTTTATATTTGCATAGAGAATTCATTTTTCATCACCGGTGACAATTCTGTCCAAAAATGGTACACACACATTACGCGCCAGAAAATACGAAGCAACGTTCACACGTTGGAAACGATGATCATCGGAGAGTTCGTGAGGTACCCAAACACCTTCTTTATGGAGTTTTGCCATATTCCTTAGATGTTTACATATTGTTTCATGAGAGTCATGCAATTTCAGGGTCATTTCACGAGTGTGTTGCCTTGGGTTAGACTCAACAAGCGTC